CTGAACCAGTTAAGTTTCTAAAGTATTACAGAGAAAACCTAGTGCTTCCTGTCCAAATCAGCCATGTGTATATAAAGAAAAGTGGTGAGAAAAGAAGGTTCAGTGCACGAGGAGAACGAGGTGAGCGTTGCATTCTATGCAGGTAATGTCCAAATCTTTTTCTCACTTTGAAGCAAGTGTGAGATATAGAAGGGGAATAATGACAAAGTATCTAATGGGAACGCAGTGGGGATGGCAAAATAGAGGGGCACAGTGGGAGCAAAGCATGCTCCTCTTGTGACTGCACTGGGGAGCTGCTTAATTTCCGTCTCAAAACAATTAAAAACAGATAATAACAAAGATTTTCAATAAAGCTGTCACTTCTGTATTTTCTTCAAATAAATGAAGAAAAGCAAGTAGAGCACTAAACAATTACAGGCCCATTGGCTAGATTTTACTTCTGTACAACATCCTTGAGTGGATACTAAAACAAATGGTTATCAAGAATAAATGCCAATTGCCGTAAAATGCAAAATAACATTTTCCCAAATGACTGCTCAACACTAACTTTTAACTTTGTTTTTGGAAACACTGGGAAAGAGGCAATGTTCCTCATGTATCTACGGCAAATAATCATTTACACTGGGGACAAGTGAGATAAAAATAAGAATTTTAAAGGAGATGGGAAACTACCTGAAAGAGGGTTGTCTTCCACAATGAAAGGCAGGAGACCAACCTGGCCATTCGTCCTTACCCCACACAGGAAATACAGACACGAAGCAAAGGGACATAATTTTAAGGACATCAGTCATTCATAAGTCACTTTCTTGTTCAAACCATTGTCCATATGGATACTCACGGGGTGGGTGATCCCAAACAGTACTTCCCAGAGCCTCACAATTTGCCTGAAGAAGTTACTATATATATATTCACCACACGACAAAGCTTGAAAATTTCAGGATGAGCGTGTACAGAAGAGTATTTGATATCCATTGGCTCTCCTTGTTTTGGAGGTTTTTTCCCCTGTTTTTTTTTTTTTTTAAACTCCTTTTTTAAATGTTAAGTAATTCAAGCAATACAGAGATTACAACTCTGAAGCACTTCTACAGCAGTTCAATAGGAGGGATTTTCAATGGGAGGATAACAGATTGGTTGGCTACATTAAGGAGTGACAACAGGAGAAGTGGAGCTCTGAAAGGAAAGCAGAGAAAGCCCAAAAGCAGAGCGCAATGGCTGAAGGCTTACAGGGGTTTGCATTTTTTTTTAGAATCTAAAATTTATTACTTTTACTGGAGCCATGTGAACAATAAACTCTGCAGGTAGGCAATGTATCCCACTTGCAGATGTTACAGTCGCATTCCCAGCTTTCCGCATGCCTGAGAGGATTGTATCATGGATGCTATCCCAGAGTCCTGAAATAGCGACACCTCAAACACGCACCTCCCCTGTGGGTTTAGAAGGGGTGTCATGAACCACCAACTCCCTTGTCCTGCTTCTGATGGTAATGCACACCATACAACTGCTCTCAAAACTTTACTAAATTACATTTTGGTGCAACACTAGCTTGACAAAAACACCTTTCTTTTCCCTCTGTTGTGTTAATCTCATTTTTACTCCCTGCAGTTATAAATAGCAATCATATTTCCATGCTGCAATCACACGCTTCATTTCCCAAATCATTCTAAAAGCTCTCTTCTGTATCTGTTCCACTTTGTAATCAGCTTTCCTGAAAACGGACGATCAGAACTGCCGTTTTCCAACTGACATCTCACGAGTGCCTGTGTTGAGATACTAACATTTCCCTAACTAACAGAAATGCCTCTGCTGATACATCCTCCGAGTTATTATTGTTATAATCATGCCTGCGTCACACTAACATTTCATAGTCAATCTCTTATCAACTACTCAACCATGATCCTTCTTTTCCTCGGTCATTTGCAATTGATGATTACTCAGCTTACAACTTAATTTTTTGTTATTAGTCCCCAAATGACCCTGCAAGCAGTACTATTCCATTGCTACTACTCCAGTCCCCAAGTTCATCTTTCTGTGCGGTTCTTCAATCTTCTTAACTCATAATACCCCAAATTATATGTTATTTGCAAATTTTATCAGCCTACTTCCATCATTTCCTTTGCACATTAAACCAGTTATCAAAGAAAAATTGTACGTTTTTATAGCAACATTAATTTGAGCCAAATATGCATGTATGTGCTATTTCTAACTTCTGTTTTTCTCATTATTCTTCATTTAGTGACCAAAGGCATGCTGTGACATTGCACATGAGCTTGTGCAGCCTCCCCTTTGTCACATACTGCTGGTGGGAAACTGCGGTTCCCTTAGCCCTGTACCAATTAAAATTCACCACACTTAGGGAAACACTTAAAACTGTTTCCCTGTTGTTAATGCTCATTCAGCTCCACTTTGAAGATCAGCTTTACCCTGCACAGCGAGAACAAAAGCTGCTAGATGGCATGCAGTTTTCCCAGGGACAATCACGTATTGGGAGTTTTATGCACCAAACAACAAACCTGCTCTGAGCAAAATTAGAGGACATCATAATTAGAATCGTGATAACCCTCATAGTTTACATTAAAACTCCTAAATTGTTACCATTTTTTACAACCAAACAGAAATTACTAAGGTGGGATATATTTACAGTTTCCATAACATTGACAAGTTTTTAAACTAACAGAGATACTGTAAAATGTGTGAAACAGCAAACGGGCTGCGGTGAGTGGGTGGGTGAAGGGAAGGTGGCAACTTATTCCAACCACTTCTGTACTTTTTTCTTCTTCAATGTATAATTTCAGATACACTTATAAAATTGTTCTTTTCTCCACAGAGGGTCAGAGAAGGAAAATGTCAGACATTCTAAGTTTAGAAAGAACCATTTTCCTCACCTTTGTCTGAAAAATTCATGCAGTACCTGCTGTAGAATTGGA